TGTCCTTCTCCAGGGACTGGTCCCTCCTGGTAACATATCCAAAGTACATGAGACGAAGTCTCGTCATCCTCACTTCTAAGGAGCATTCTGGCTATACTTCTTCCAAAACAGATTTGTTCATTCTTCTGGCAGCCATGGCATATTCAGTATACTTCATCAACACCATAATTCAAAGGCATCAATTCTTCTTTGGTCTTCCTTTACTCATTGTCCAGCTTTTGCATGCATATGAGGCGATTGAAAATACCATCGCTTGGGTCAAGTGCACCTTAGTCCATAAAGTGACATCTTTGCTTTTTAACACTTTAAAGAGGTCTTTTGCAGGAGATATTGCCCAATGCAATACATCGTTTAATGTCTTGACTGCTGCTTCAATGGGTGTTGATTGCTGAGCTAAGTAAAATGAAATCCTGGACAACTTCAATCTTTTCTCCGTTTATCATGATGTTGCTTATTGGTCCAGTTGTGAGGATTTTTGTTTTCTTTTTGTTGAGGTATAATCCATACTGAAGGCTGTAGTCTTTGATCTTCATCAGTAAGTGCTTAAAGTCCTCTTCATTTTCAGCAAGCAAGGTTGTGTCATCTGCATGACGCAGGTTGTTAATGAGTCTTCCTCCAATCCTGATGTCCTGTTCGTCTTCATATAGTCCAGCTTCTTGGATTATTTGCTCTGCATACTGATTGAATAAGTATGATGAAAAGATACAACCCTGACTTACACCTTTCCTGACTTTAAACTACGCGGTATCCTCTTGTTCTGTTTGAGACTGCCTTTTGATCTATGTACAGGTTCCTCATGAACTCAATTGAGTGTTCTGGAATTCCCATTCTTTGCGATGTTATCCATAATTTGTTATGATCCACACAGTCGAATGCCTTTGCATAGTCAATAAACACAGTTAAACATCTTTCCGGTAGTCTCTGCTTTCAGCCAAGATCCATCTGACATTAGCAGTGATATCCTTCATTCCACATCCACTTCTGAATTTGGCTTGAATTTCTGGCAGTTCTCTGTTGATGTACTGCTGCAACCACTTTTGAATGATCTTCAGTAAAATTTTATTTGTGTGTGATTTAATGATATTGATCAATAATTTTTGCATTCTGTCGGATCCCGTTTCTTTGGAAAGGGCACAAATATGGATCTCTTCCAGTTGGTTGGCCAGGTAGCTGTCTTCCAAATTTCTTGTCATAGATAGACAAGTGAGCACCTCCGGCACTGTATCCATTTGTTGAAACATCTTGATTGATATTCTGTCAATTCCTGGAGCCTTGTTTTTCGCCAGTGCCTTCACTACAGCTTGGACTTATTTTCCTCAGTACCGTCAGTTCTTGATCATATGCTACCTCCTGAAATGGTTGAACACTGAGCATTTCTTTTTGGTACAGTGACTTTGTGTATTCCTTCCGTCTTCTTTTGATGCTTCCTGCATCGTTTAGTATTTTCCCTGTAGAATCCTTCAGTATTGCAACTCGAGGCTTGAATTATATCTTTAGTTCTTTCAGCTTGAGAAATGCCAAGCATGTTCTTCCCTTTTGGTTTTCTAACTCCAGGTCTTTGCACATATCATTATAATACTTTACATTGTGTTCTCGAGCCACCCTTTGAAATCTTCTGTTAGGCTCTTTTACATCATCATTTCTTCCTTTCACTTTAGCTACTCTACATTCAAGAATAAAATTCAAAGTCCCTTCTGACATCCAGAAGAAAGTCTTTTCTTTCTTCCCTGTCTTTTTAATGATCTTTTGCTTTCTTCATGTAAGATGTCCTTGATGTCATTCCACAACTCGTCTGGTCTTCGGTCGTTAGTGTTCAATGCATCAAATCTATTCTTGAGATGATCTCTAAATTCAAGTGAGATATACTCAAGGTCCTTCTTCCTAGTCTGTTTTAGTTTGGAAGCTCTGCTGAAAGCTGTCCACCATGGATGACGCTGCTGGTATTTGAAATACTGATGGCATAGCTTCCGGCATCACAGCAACACTCAAACCACCACACTATGACAAACTGACAGACAGGTGGTGGTTCTGTCTTGTAGGTACACATATATAGCAGAGAAAAATATCGAAATACAGTCATTATTTACCTAGTTCTGAAACTCCACAGCCGCTGAGTTAACCACAGCAATTAAAACCACACAGGGGATGTAAGTGATTGGATTATTAAGAGCTGCCCTGGATTTTAATTGTGGGTTATGAGTTACATTCTTGTTCTTCAACAAAGATCACATACAATGTGGTGATGCCTGATATCTTAGGCCCTTGATTTACAGAAATAGGCCAGGAGCGATAGATATTAGTTGGAACTAACTTAGAGACTGAAGAGAGGTGACCTTAATAATCCTCCCATGAAACTTTGTAGTTGGAAATTTGTACCTGTCTTCTCAACATCCCCCCGACCTCATCAGCCTGAGTATACAAATAAGGTCATGGTGGTAACGTTGATTCCCATATTTCCCTGGCTTTGTAGCTCCTCACTACCAAGATACAGAGCCCCTGTAGCCAAACTCTCCCACCCCTTCCTCTGACAGCCTCCAAGGGCAGTTGCACACATGCTCAGGAAGAAGCTTGCACACTGGTATAACTACAATCTCACTGGCTCTGCCCGTATTTGCTGTGTCAATTGGGAAGAAGGTTGCTCTCCACAGAGCATTGTACCTTGGGACTTCCAAGTGTGCACATGGCTCCATGTTCTCTTCAGGCTCCACCTAAGTGCTGGAGTTACAGTGTGTTCCATATGGAAAAAGAGAGACTCTTCGCCTCCCTAACTCTGTGCCCCACCTGTCTCCTGGGCCCTGAGCCAGAACTGCTTGGCACACAAGTAAACAGCTTCTTCAGATTATGCTCATCATACTTCCACCTTCTCCATTCACCTTATGGGATGACCTCAGGGGCAGTAGGAGAGCCATATCATCTCCTCCATTGTTTTTAACTCTTCCCTGTGCCCCCTAGGTATGCATGAACCAATTTTCTCCTTTATCCTTTGGTCAAAAATCAAAAGCCTTTAGGGGTATCACCCATATGGGTCACCAACCTTTTCTTCCCAGTCTTACTGCTGAGACTCAGCCAGGCACATGCTTCTACTCTTGCATGAAGTTGTCTGCTTTTGCTGAGCTCATTGCTACAATGGAACTGAGTCACCATTAGGGTCTGGTGGAGTCATCAGCCAGTGTAGATGGTTGTCCGATGAGAACAATCTCTAGTAAATGAGTTGCAGTGTCAAAAGTAGATAGAGGAATGGCTTTTGAGGAGCTTATTAACTCATTTGGCATAATTGCCTGTTGAATGAGATGGAGCTCAAAATGTGTTAAGTGTCCTGGCCTAGAAAAACACCCCTGCAAGTAGCTGAGAGGAAGGTATTCATTTTTGTGGGCTTCATCACAACTGGGAAGTTTATTCTCTGGCCTTCAGTTCTCCTAGGGCAGGAGAGGGCAGGTATGTAGTAAATAATTTGGCCTTGCCCAAAGAGAATTTCTGGCATTTGTTCTCAGCTTCTGGGAGGTAATCTCTAGGCTCTTGGAATGTCATGCCTGATAGGAATGTGTTTGCTTGCCCGGAGGCCTTGAGTCACTGGACAATCTTAAAGTGGGAGCTGGAATAACAGAAAGACTAACTATGTGATTTATAGTGAGGGCTTTGAGTCATGTGGTATCAGTTGACCTGGAGACTGAGATCAACCAAATGGGTAATCAATCAATCCATTATGCCTACATAGTGAAGCCCGAATAAAAACTCTGAACACTGAGGCTTGAAGGCTTGAGTGAGCTTCTCGTGGTTGGCAATATTTATGCATATTATCACACATCAGTTTTGGGTAAGTAATGTGTCCTGACTCCATAAGGAGAGGACATGGAAGCTTCATGTTTGGTACTCCCTGGACTTTACCCAAGGTTCCTAGGTAGTGCAAATGGTTTGTGCTCAACTACTAACCTAAAGATTGGCTGTTCAAACCCACCCAGCAGTAGCCTGGAAAAAAGTCCTAGGTATCTGCTTCCACAAAGATTACAGCCAAGAAAACCCTATGGAGCAGTTCTACTCTGCAACACATGGGGTCATCATGAGTCAGAATCGACTCAACAGCAGTGGGTTTGGTTTTTGGTTTTTGGACTCTACCCTATTGTCTCAGTCATCTGGTGCTGCTCTAACAGGAATACCACAAGTGGATGGCTTTACAAAGAGAAATTTATTCTCTCACAGTCCAGTAGGCTACAAGTCCAAATTCAGGGCATCAGCTCCAGGGGAA